AAGGGTAGATGTCTGTGAGTTAATAGTATTAGAGGTGATAATTGGGGAAGCTATCTTTGTAATGGGTAAGATAGCTGGAGTCTACATTCACCACAGCTACATTTCCATCACTATTTCCAAATAAGATATTTCAAAACAACACTGTAGTGTAGATGTACCCTCAGTTCCTTCTCTACCACAGAACACATTGTTAAGAGCTCTGAAGTCAAAGGGGGAGGATAGTGGAGCAACCAACCGGGACACACATCTCAAAAAATCATTACTGCTCAACTGAGTAACTTCTTCAAAGCAAGTCCCATGGGGTACTCCATTGTACAGTACTTCTGATGGAGGGGTGGGGCTTTGGAGCAAAGTCTAATACAAATGATAATACAGCAGAGCCAAATATGGCACTGGATGCTAACTCACGGGCAATGTTCAGCAAATGGCCAAGACGCTGCTCTGCATACCTCTGTGATGGGAATGTTTTGGAGAAAAGATTCCTTTCTGTGCCGGCAGCCTATGGAAAGAGTTTAAACTCTGGATGGAGATTGAAGATTGTGGTTATGATAGCTATAGGTAATGCAGTCCAATATCCATCTAGAGAGTCTTTTCTTAAGAGTTTCAGGAGCCTTTCGATTTCTCTGCAATAGAAAGGAAGTGTCCAGGACACTGTTTCTAAACCTGATTCCAGAGCTTGCTGCTTTCCTAAACTGTGTCAGATCTTGAGGAGGCATGCCAGTCCACTGAAGAACACTGATCTAGGAGATTTTCTGAAAGATTTAGTGCTATCCAAACAGAAGGCCAACGCTCTTCTGACATCAAGTGTATGTAACATGGACTCGCTCATGTCCTATGCCCTTCCCATCTGTATGTTTAACAGCAGCACCAGTACTTGAGCCTATGGCCTCATCAGTTCCCAGGTGTCAACTTGGCTGTGGATCTCTTTCCTGGTCAGTATTTTTCATCTGGAACCTGCTTTTTTGGATTTTTCTGAGAGGAGTCATTCGATTTCTTCCTTGCAGCCAGGGAAGAATGCTGCACGGAGAGGCTGATGCCACTGGGCTTGTCAGGACAGCGTGCAGAGAAAAGTTCCAGGTCTGGAGGCTGCTCCAAGTGAACATTCCACTGTGAGGAGTCTGAACTTCAGTTCACCGTTTCTTCTTGCCTTTGATTTTAATTCCAGGCAGAAAGGGCACGTGTGTGGTACATGGAACTTGAAGGCAGCCAATGCAGCATGAATAGCTATTACTGACTAAGAGCTTCTCTGCAGGACAGACCGCATTCAAATCCAGGTAGCCAGGCGCACCCTTTTCAGGCTTCACTTCCCAAAGGGAAGAGATTGGGGAGTGGGGGGGGGCCCTAAGGACAGGGAGATAATTTTTTTTGTTTTCAAATACAAATAATTAACCTAACTGCAACACTTCTAGCAACACCATCATCGGGGAATGAAATTCACAAATCATTTTTCACTTGGACTCAAAGCTCTCTCTCAGGCCAAAGGCAGAGGAGTGTGGCGCAGTGCTAGATAGCCCAGGGAGAGAACATGTGTGGGTGAGACACTGCTAAAAGTACCCAGCCAGACACAGAGGTAGGTACACCTGCAGTAAACAGCCACAGATACTACTCAGCCCGTTAGGGTAAAGACCCAGGTTACGCATCTTTTTAAATTCCTAGGAAGATTTAAGTCTAGTCCTCCACCCCGGTTCTGTTCCTGCTGCAGTGTAGGCGCTTGCCCCGCTCCTCCCGGTGCTCCAGCTGAGCATTGGCAGCAGGGTTGGTCGGGAGCTTGCTCCACTCCACTTGCCTGGCGCTCCTGCCAAGGTGTGGAGTCAGGTGCTTGCAAGCCCCTAGGCCCTGATCCCAGTCCCTGGCAGGAGCGACCACTGGGCAGGGGGAGCAGGGCAAGCGCCGCACCCTATTGTGCTCCCCAGCTGCAGCATTGGGCAGTGGGGCAAGCCCCTGTGCCCCGACCCCACTCTCCCACAGGAGCTCCTAGCGAGCAGAGCAGGACACGCCCCATCCCCCTCCCCAGCAGGAAGAAAGGGACAAGGCACAAGCAGCTGATGGGGAAGAGGAGCAGAACAGGTGGAGGATGCACATTTTTATGGGGTCCCCCTATCTAGAGCATCTCCTCCTCTCTCCCCCAAGGCTAATGGGGGGGGGAGGAAGAGGCAGCCCCATTGCTTCTATCTCCACCCTCATTGCCTACCCACCTGAGCCATCCTGGCAATGTCACTGGGTACAAGCCAAACACTTAACCTACATCTAAAATACTGCAGCTGGACCACTGTAGCCCCTCAGGGAGTATGCTGTCTATGCTGATGAAAGGGGTCCTCCAACAGATGTAGGTAACCGAGCTCCCTAACAACAGCAACAAGATTAATAGGAGAATTTTCCTGGCCACACCAAAGATAGGTTGGCTTAACTGCATCACTCAGGGATGTGGATTTTCATACCTCAATTTCCACACAGTTCTAAGACATTGGTTGTGCAGTTAAACTAACTCTCCTAAATCCAGTCCTGCATGGTCACTACATAGGAAATCTAATTTATAGTGGACAAAGTTATCAGTTTTCCTTCAACTTAAAAAAAAAAAAAAAAAAAAAGGTGCTGGCCACAGTTTGCAGGATATTTAGCAGTTCTCATCCTCCCCAAGTCGGCTTGCAGACGTTTAATGCTTACTGATCTAGGAATGATCATCATGACATTGCCAGAAGTGCCTTCAGTAAAGGGTCAGTGAGTCCTCTCAAGTTACTGGCTGCTGTGCAATCAGCAAGCATAGCTTCTCCTGAGAACGGCGCTCAATGGCCATTCATTTATAATTGGTACTGACTGATTAAATACTGGTGGCTGAGCAATTATTCATGACGAGCCGTTATAGAATTAACTATTTTTCTGCCTCTATCCTTTGTACCGATGATTCATTCCAGAAGATAAAAGAGTTTTCCCTGTGAAACCACAACCCTGTTTCTGCCGCTCCTCAGTAGCACAGGTTTCCCTGTCTGTAACTGTCCTTGAGCAGCACAATGACAACCCTTCTGGGGCATGCACTGCCCCATGTTGCATCTTTAGACAGAGTGCTCTAGGCTTGCCATCTTTTGCCCCTTCACAAAGCAAAAGCAGCTTCTTTTCTCTCTGGGAACAGTTTGTAAGGGTCACCCCCAAGAGCAGCCTAATTCCAAGGGTACTTTAAGTAAAGCAATAATTATTTAGCAAGTTAAGTGAAGTCACAGTAAATCAAGAATAAGAGGTATAAAATCATAGCCAGTCTAAATCCTGGGGAACAGGCTCACTAAACAGGGCACAACCTTCTATTTAACTTGATTCAAGTAATAGAACTTATAGTCTTAGAGTTGTGTGTCCATGGTAGGAATGTGAATGGTTAATTGGTTAGCATTACCCTTACCAAGTGATGCTTATCAATTATGGTTAACCAGTGGCATAACCTGGCTGGAGCAGCCCCCCATCTGCCCCCACTTAACTGGTTAACTGATCAAATGGGATTTTACATACCAAGTCTGTGCTCACATTTCACAGACTCTTGATTTGCAGTGAATAGTCCTGCAGCACCTTAGAGACTTTTTTTCTATTACAGGCTAACATGGCTACCCCTCTGAAACTTTTGATTTGCAGTGAATTTCTTTTCTCTTTCCCCTCTCCCCTCCCACACAGAATGCCCTTTTACCTTCCTAATTACACTAGTTTTTCTAATTTTATATATGTCAGAGAGCTCATCACCACTTTCTCCTTATGAGCATAACAACCTACTTTTAACAAAAATCCACTCTCTCTAGACTAGGTCTTTACATAAAGACTCTCTCAGGGCCCACTGCAAAAGCAACTCTGAACAGAGATAGACATTTGACAATATTTTTTTCATGCATCTTGATCAGAACAATCTTTTTAACATGGCAATAGTTTTGAGCCTCAGGAAGTTGCCTCTTAGACAGCACAGTCTGTTACCTCCACTTTCCTCTTGCGCTTTCAGTAGCTCAGCCATACAGCATCTTCAGCCAGGGGTCAGAGAAGTTCCTGATGTATCCATCAACAGTCTCTCTGCCCTTGCCAAAGGCCTTTCGTGTGTAACACCACAGGAACATATCAAATTGTTGCAGCCAGAATCTACCCCTATACAACTGGCAAGGGATGCCAAAAAAACTAATAACCCATTTAGAAGACAATGATCTGTCTTTTCTTGTCACTTGCCATTAGGCCTGGAACCACAATGGACAAAGCTTTGCCCTTTTTAATGAGGTCTGAGACGGAAGTAGGATGGGCTGGAAAACGAACCCCTTCAATGTAAGTTCAGGGACCCAATATAAGACAGAGCAAGGTAAAGGCCAAGACCACTACGAAACGTGAAGGGAGTGAGATTTACATAGTGGATTGTGAGGATTTTGTACCTTGCAGACTATTTATCTGGCTTTTCTTCTGACTGTCCAAGCTCTAATCTGCATTTTAATAATGCACCAAGTCTAGCTGTAGGCTCTGAAGTCATTTATACAACTGTTAAATGGCTAGGAGAATAACTGAGAAACCAATGCCAGCATCTAATATCTCTCCAGTCTGGATCCATACCTTGCAACCAGTGGAATGAAGACCCCAGAGAGAAATCCAGAGCCATAGCAACCTGAACTGGTTTATGTTAGTTGCAGGGTTCATACCATCTGGGAATACTGAGTGGAAAATGGGACAGTGAAGTTACCACTCTACATTGCAAGAGCAGTCGCATTGGGGTGCAGGTTCCTGGAATCCAGTGAACCAAAAGATGTGCCTTCAGAAGCCTTTGCACAACAGGTGAGTGACCGTGATGACTGTGGATGGAGAAAGTTACACTCACTTGGCAACTCTTCATTGAGATATCCTCACACAAAGGAAATCTCTCAAGGGAGTATCACGCGCATGAAAGATGGTGTGGACATGCCCGGAGGGGACTAACAACAAAGAGGCCCCAGAGAGAAGACAGGAAAGTGCACTGCTCAGACACAGATGTCAGGAGAAAGAAAAACGAAAAATACCTTTCACTTCTATAGTGGCGTTGGCTACAGGTGAGCTAGCAAACACAAACACACATAAGTATTCCCCGGACTCCTCTGCTCTGAGCTTCAAAATCCTGCAGGCACAAGGAGAGACTGTGTGTTAATGGCATTTGAAATTGCTGTTAACAATTTAAAGACGGCAGGCAAACAATCTCAGAGATTTTCATTTGTAATCTGACTTTCAGAATGGTAAAACTGTGTTAGGCAATTACCATTTTATCAAGCAATTTGTGCGTAGAGTATTCCCTCAGCAATAGAATAGAGTCTGACACACGAGAATGATAATCAGACAACCAGTATTAATATCTCCAGCGAAACCTCTCATTTCTTGTGAAGCAAGAGGAAGTTCCAGCTTCATTCCTACATTAAGTGCTGAGACCAGATTCACACACATGATCCAGAAATCACAGTTCTAGTTACCTACTTGGAGCTGCACTCATTGCTAGCAATAAGCATACTTCATGTGGGGAACCAAGAGCGGCTTCTCAAGCGATGCCATTTACATGCACTTCTGCACCACAAAGAGATGAGGCACAACCAGCTAATCCGGTTAGAGGGACAGTCAAGGTTGACGAGACCAAACCATGGCCCCCTCAGACTAGGAAGTGTTGTAATAGGGCAGGATGGCCCAACTGCACCTTTGGAGCTGCATGCAGCTCTTTCACAGTTCAAGTGCTGGTTGTGGAGCCCCCCAATCTCTGCCTACCAAACCGTGGGGGCGGGGCAGGTGAGAGCTCAGACTGTGCCCAGGAGTAGGGTGGTGGCACTAGGGGCTTCTGCCAGACAACTGATGGCTGCAGACAATGCAGGGAGGGGGCACAATTTAAACATTCAGCCCCAATAGCTTCCATCATGCCTGTCCAAGCATACACACCCCTTACAGTGAGCAGCCCCTCCCGGCAAGGCAGCTCCCTGTAGCAAACAGCCGGAAGCTGCAGGGAAGGGCCACGGCTTTAGCTCCGCAGGGAGAGCAGTGGCTCCCCCTACAGCTCCCAGCTTTTTGCTGCTGCCTCTCCGCAGCTGTAGCTCCCAGCTTGCCAGCTCTGTGCAGGGAGGGGGGAGCCTAGCAGCACCATGTGACTGAGCAGGGCCAATACACCCTGGCTAAAATTGGGAGGAAGGGGATGTTACGCCATGTGCCCCTTTTCATGTTACTTCTAGCTTCTGCCCCAGGGGGAGGGAGGTCTCAGGCCCCACAGCACACACCTGCTGGAGCTC